GGTTTGGATACACTTTAAATGTATCTAAAACCAAAACCAAAAACATTATTTTACTGTCTTTATCAGAAACTAAATTGGTACATCGGTATTCTAATATTTCTTGGTATATGCATAGAGCAGGATTAAGGTCTTGTACCAGTCTTGCCCCTCTGCGTTCTGCTCTAACATTGACTAGTCGCTGACGGCCACAATTTGCATGTTCAGACCCAGATTTTCGGCTGACAGTCCAGTCTTTAAACACTTTAACAATGAGCCCCTCTTGAACATTTAACAAATTCTGCTGTTTTGCGGATACTCGCTCCATGGCTCCGCGCCAACAATCATCCCACGCTCAAAGGCTGTTAAATTGCGTTATTTACCCATATCTTCAGAAAAAAATCACTTCTACTGTCGTGGTAAACAACCTGCTTCCCTATTTATAATGGTCTGGCCCTTTACCAACTTCAGCGCAAAATTATAGCTAATTTTCCTACAAACGTCAGGTGGTCATAATGAACTGGCCACTCAGTGTAGTTACATAGTTAGTCAGGTTGAATAAAGACATAAGTCCATTAGGTTTAACCCATAGAAAAAAAAAAAAAAAGCAGAAAAACCACCCGAAACAGACCCCTTTGCCCACAGTTGATCCAAAGGAAGGCATGTTGGATGGAGTGAAGTGGGGGACAGAATTATCTGGGCAGTAATTAATAGTAACTGCATCAGGGTTCTATTTCTCGGTTACAGGGACGGCATTAGAATTTTCTAGGACCCATGTAATCTAAACCTCAGGCCCTATACTCCTCAGGTCACCAATAAAGTACAAGTGCCCAAAAATAAATATATTAAATACAAACAAATGAAGTCGCATACAAGAAAACTGAGGGTTGCTATCCTTGTTCTCTTGTCTTAGCAATTAAGTGCAAGGGCTATTAAATGAAAATATTTTATTCCAAACAAAACTGGTAATTAGTGTTCAAGAAGTCCGAGTTCTCTATGTCAGAGGCTGCAAGATGGTAGGGTCCCAGGGGGCATCAAAAATATCATTTCATTTTTATTTAAAAAAAATATGCATTAAAGTATTGTTTCTAAAGAGTGAATCATATTTATATATATATCTTTTAAGCAACACCTTAAAAAAATTCCCTTTAAGAAATGATATTAAAGAAACATATTATTCAACCTGAAAGGTATTGTTTTCTTTATCAGATGACTCAGATATGACCTCCTTCGCAGTCTCACCAATCTAGACTGTAGTGCTTCCAAGCTGGTTGGCTTCTGTCCAGGTGGGCCCAGAGCTAATAGATTGCGTAACAATATCTTACAATAGGAATTTGTTTTATATGTTTCTGTAAGGGTCAGTTTTAGGGGTATATACCATATTATATGGTGTATTTGTACAGGACAATAAATATGTAACGGAGGGCGTAAATAACAACAAAAATGGCAGCCAATCAGATCAATTTATAACTAGCACAGGAAAGGTGCACATGGGCAGGGCAGTGCAGCGAACAATACAAACATTTCCCAGAACTGAGCCACATGCCTCAATACATACAAACATTAAGCAAACTGTTTGCTTCACCTTAATTATTGCAATCTTCAGTATATGTTGTTGCTCTGACAAGGACCATCCCTATAATGAGGCAGGCTGAGGCTGTTGCCTCAAGCGGCATCTGTTTTGGTCACACGTTTCCGGCCAAAGCACCCCAGGTAGCTAACAGCAGGGCAGGGAGATGTGTAGGGGCCATACACATATCCCCTCCCATCTGTTAGCAACCTGGGATGCTTTGGCCAGAGTCCCTCCCAGCTCTTGGCAACCAGCGACACATCAAAGTGCTGGGCAGTGCACCACCAGAAAATTGGCCAGAGCACCGTTAGTGTGCACCACCAGCACCCCATCAACTACCCCCTGGAAAGTGACCACCAAGAGACAATCCTAAAAGTGACCACAGCACCCCCCTACCTCAGGCAGCGATTATGCTATGGGTGGCCCTGGCTCTGACCATGGTCCACATTCACTACTACATCCTGAATGGTAACGCCAAGTGGTGAACTTTGGAATAATTAGAGGGTGAATCAGAAAAACTGGATCTGCATTACATCCAGCACCTGTGTATATTCATTCTAAAGACGTTCTTCAGGAAAGAGTTAATCTCTTTCCAATTACACACAAAAGTAGACTGTACATGATTTGCATCCCTCGGCTCATTAACGTCCATGGAAGAGATGAGGGTTGTTTGATGTCTCAGCCCCTTATCTTTGATCAGCTGTTCTTAGAAGACTGGTTATTAGTGGAAGTGATGCTAAAAATACTCATAGAACTGAATAGGTAGCCTCTTTAAAGGAAACACAAAGCCTTAGAACTCTCTATAGATATATAGACTACGTGTACAGGAGATCAGCTTTATGTAAGCATTATTTCAGTGTGTTAATGTTTTAAAACACCTTGTTTCTGTGTGTATTTTGTAATTATATATACATGGGAGCAATCATATTTGATCATTGCACTCTGCTTCCTACCTTGCAGTGCTACACAAAGGTCCGGGCCTAATGCCTCAAACAACACAAACCTATGAGTTGGTTGATCCACTAAAACCAATACACTCCCTGGATGTCTTATATCTAATTAAAGCAGTTGTGAAAGGGATTCTGTCACATTGCCAATTCTCTGGCAAGTGACTCTGTCACTTTTGCCCTAAATGGCCCAGTGATGGCCAGCATAATCAGAAGCTATGGAGGTAATAAATCTACTCTTGGATGGGGGGGAGGAGGACAGGATTGTACTGCTGCTTGCTGCACAGAGAAAAGTGAAAAGAGCTGTGATAGCAATCCTGAAGACTCCTCCTGTGTGTCTGACAGCAGTTCTTCTAGACTAGAGACTTCAAAGCACTTGATAGCTTCTGCAGCCTTTCCAACCCTTAATGATACAGTACCGGATCTGTGCTGTCTTCACAGGCACACATTTTCAGTTTAATTTGCCTGAACAGCCAATCTACAGCACATTTTTGGGCTTCTTCCTTTTGAAATATCAAACAAATGATGGGATGTATATACAGTAAGCTTGTATCAGCAGATCCTCCATAGGACCACAATCATGTTGCCCTGTAGCTAGTGGAATAGTAACTTGTATGTTTTGTGTACAATCATAAAAATGCCTCTGTGCTCACTTAGATCATTTTCATTAAGAATATAAATCTTCCACCAGACCTCTGTTCCTCCAGATGGTCAGCTATGTGGTGGGCTCCTTGTTCCCAGTAATGCACAGAGCGTTCCAAATAAAATTACCCTTCTTCTTCATAACAAGCTAACTCAAACCGAATGCACATCTGGAAAAAGGAAAATCCCAACTGCTGAGTACCAGAGGATTTCCCTAGAGGCAGCCAGAAGGTAAAACCAGTTGGGAGGTGCAGTTAAATTCTTTGACATGTAAGCCGAAAATCCTTTACTGGATGTGAGTGAATTTCATCTGAGGATTCAATGCAATTAAATACTCATTTAAAATAAGCACTCAGGTCTCTCTGGCTCTTGCAAAGGTGCAGTTTACTCTTGCCTGAAATGCTCTTTGTAATTATAACAGTGGACTGGAACCCTACCTTGTAGCTACGTCAATACACTCTCACGGATATCAGTTAGCCTGCAGTATCTGCTAGCCTCCAGAAACTCAAAAATATAATAGCACATAGTAGACTGTTCTGTGCTGCTGCTGCTCATTACAATCTACAAGTAGTTTTCAGACTTCAAAACAATTGCTTCTGAGGTACATATTAAGAATGTAGGAGGACATAACCCTACCTTATAAAAGTTTCCAAAAAGGCAAAGGCATTTTTCCTACATAGTAAGATCTTGTTTTAGGAACTATGAAATTGGAGAGAGAAATTGGATTCATATCTCACTTTCTGGTCAGAACAATAATACAGCTACTATAGTAGTTAGTAACATTCAGCTTACCTTTTTAGTGGCTAACCATAATCCGTATAAATGAAAACCTTCAAAGATTACACCTGCAATGCCAACTATTTCATCTCATAATTAGGAACTTTGTTCTTGTGGAAGACGGTCAACGAGATCTAGTACATGTGAAGCTATAAGTAAGAGTTTTGTTCACAGTGGAGAAAGGGGGCAACCTGATTATACCACCTAGATGTATAAAATAGTATATAATTCATATGCACAAGTTCATATTAAAAGCTTTGGAGAGCATTACCAGTTTCGGACACGTGGCCTTGTCAATTGTATGAAGATTGAGACAAGAAAAGGAGAGTGCTGACAAAAAGAACAAGTGGCACAGCAATGGGAAGGGAAGAAAACACAAATCCCTCTATAGTACAACCTGTTACGGAAACGTTGGCAGGACTGTCATGGAAATGGAGTGCTGGAATTATGAAAGTAATGGATACTGATGAACAACAAAATCCCCTTGCAGGCATGATGTCTGGGGAATGAACACCTTTGTCTCAACTGACTATGTAAACTATACAGTATTAATCACATACATCTTCCCAGTCAGTGAAAAGATCAAAAGTAACAGACTGGTTAAAGACTGGGAAAATCCATTTGGACTCCAGAATGGCTCACACAGCCTCCTCTACCATTTTGCTAATGTTAGCCATGAGGACACATGTGGTTTAGGGTACCCATAGACATAAAATGATAATTACCCATTCTGAATGTATTGGGAAATGACCTTGGGTGGCTAAAAGTGTACTAGCTGAAAGAAACAGAAGAAAGAAAACTGGAGAGAACAATTGATAGGGCCTAATTTCCCCCTCAGAAAAGCCAACACCACGATCTACGAGTTAACAGAGTGTAAACCTGCGGGGGGTGCCTCTAATAATATAGTCAATGATGAACTTTCTTTAATATTGTAAAGTAAAAAAAATATATATATATTTCTTCCCCCCAAAATAAAAGTCTTTTAATTTCCCTTCAAACAGATTCTAAGGTTATTCAAACACTGCTGGTCACACACAATGACAGTAAGCATCGACGGTATGACACAATCAGACAAAAACAGATTCCAGTACAGATCCAATAGTATGATTTTATTTCTATATCACAGTAAAACAGTATATTGTATGGACAGACACATTTTGACACAAAATTGCACAGGCCAGGAGCATATATATCTCTATTCCACAATACAACTCAAAAAAACCCATCCAAAATATTTCTGCCTCTGTGTCTTATAAGTTTCTTGGCTCATGAGCCTGCCGCCTTCCTGGCCAGGATAAAGTTTACCAGCTGATATACTGCAAGGTTAAGTAGATACTCTCTTTATATCATATACTCTAAAATCAATAATATCCTCTTATATTTGGTCCCGTAGAAGGTTCTGAAAATCAGGCATAAAATGAAATGGTGGGCAAAACTGAGTGAACCCTTTACATGCTGGTCTCATGATAGCATGTCATCATACGAGAACCAGCCAAGCGAATGATTATGGGAAATGAAGACGTATCGCCATATACAAGTGCATGCCAAGCAAAACTGTTGGGTTTAGGGTGGGGTTGTATCTGAGTCATGAAGTCCTGTTAACCCCTTCACTTGTAGGGATCTTGTTTTGTACTTGGAAGTGTTCAAGAACCATCTGTTTCTCATGCCTGATAGAACTTGGAACACGTGGAAAATATGGGACAGAGAAGAACAGGGCAAGGACAATCTCAAAATAGCCTGGATTACAACGCTAGATTTTTCCACTGGTATAATACTACACGGATGATGTACAGAGCAGCCGTACAGTAAAACGTTAGCTTCTTTGTCTGATATGTCTCTGCTTCCTTCCTGCTCCCCGTGCTGTTATATAACCTGCATTTTAGAAGGAGTATGCAGCTAGTTCAAATGCAGCGTACTTTAATGCCATATTAAAAAGCCCAACCCACCCTGGTTGTAGTGACCCTGTAGTTATAACCGCATGCCCACCCAATTACCCACCCCAGTATTCCCAACACCCGTACTCCCTCGCTGCCCCAGGTTCAGGAGGCCTGAGACAGCCAGGAGCTGAAGTCCTTGGCTGGGCCCTCACTGGGAGATGGATGGGCTCACACCGAGTTACTGGGGTACTGTGTCCAGCCCACCTCCTTGTATGTTGCTTGTACATGACTGTATATGAGGCTCCGTAATTTGCTCCAAGCTAGCTGTACTTCTGGGGTGAATTCTTTGGCAAATGCTTCTGCAATGATTTCCAGTATCACCCCAGTCAGGATCTAGTGTAAAACAAAATCAAAAGAAATAATAGAAGACATCAATCTTAATAAACAGGTTAAAACAGTCATACAATGTGTGCTTACAAAGATAAACTTCAATGTAAGGCTATCTACAAATCTTGTTATGCTCTTGCTGAACGATCTTTCATATCAAAGGTCATTCTATAAATATACACGTTCTCATCTTTGCAGACAGGCATGTTTGCCTATGGAGGAGAGAGGGGGAGGCAATGGAGTGCTGGACTTAGCTTAGCTCCTGGGAGAAGAATATCTGATCAACTAAGCTGGTCGCTTTGTGACATCAGAGTGCTTGACCAGATGTTTGCAAGGGTTGCAATCATCAGGATTGGGGCAAATATTTTGTCATTTCTCTTGGAACAATATTTAACATTGGTGTTTATAAACACTATACAGGTGAAACTCGAATAATTAGAATATCGTGCAAAAGTAATTGCAGTAAGTGCTGCAAAAGGGGCCCAAACCAAGTACTGAGTACATATGCATGCTTGTACTTTTCAGAGGTCCGATATTGTTCTATGTACAATCCTTGTTTTATTGATTGCATGTAATAATCTACTTTTTTGAGGTTGTGGATTTGGGGTTCTTGGGGTTTTCATGAGCTGTAAGCCATAATCATCACAATTATGACAAATCATGGCTTGAATTATCTTGCTTTGCATGTAATGAGTCTATCTCATATATTAGTTTCACCTTTTAAGTTGCCTTAGTGAAATAAATGAACTTTAGTGCTTGACCAGATGTTTGCAAGGGTTGCAATCATCAGGATTGGGGCAAATATTTTGTCATTTCTCTTGGAACAATATTTAACATTGGTGTTTATAAACACTATACAGGTGAAACTCGAATAATTAGAATATCGTGCAAAAGTAATTGCAGTAAGTGCTGCAAAAGGGGCCCAAACCAAGTACTGAGTACATATGCATGCTTGTACTTTTCAGAGGTCCGATATTGTTCTATGTACAATCCTTGTTTTATTGATTGCATGTAATAATCTACTTTTTTGAGGTTGTGGATTTGGGGTTCTTGGGGTTTTCATGAGCTGTAAGCCATAATCATCACAATTATGACAAATCATGGCTTGAATTATCTTGCTTTGCATGTAATGAGTCTATCTCATATATTAGTTTCACCTTTTAAGTTGCCTTAGTGAAATAAATGAACTTTGCACGATATTCTAATTATTCGAGTTTCACCTGTAAACCAGTTTCCCCATGTCCTCACTCAGATGGCACATGGCACGCAATAGGAGGACTCTACTGAAGGAGATACCATATTATCTTAGAAGGAGTTTGCCAAACGATTTAGTACGATTTCTTTAGTTTTTGCCATCATCACTAAACAAAGAATCTTCTTTATATGAGAATTTACAGACAAAGGGATAACTTCCAGATACCAAAGGATGCTAATTAAAACCATACATCAGAAAAATATGTATCTATAGGCCATTATAGCCATTTTTCCCCCCTGTACACTTGTTTGCTGGAGGGAGGAGCAGCAGCCAACTTAGAAAATGCACAGTAAAGAAAGGAGCGTGCACCGAGACCCATGTGAATGCTGGAAGAGGTGGCTGCAAAACCAAAAGAGCAATCACAGCAGGAAGCTATGACAGAGAAGACAGGTCATTCATGATGCCCACATAGTTCAATCCAAACTGTGGGCATCAACAGCATTATTGATTGTGTGTTGATGTTAATCGCTGTGACCCACTGATAACCAAAGTAGTGTAAATGCTACACAATAGCAAATGCTGTGCTATAGCTCCCAATATATAAACAAATATTTCTGCCTATCTTCAGATTTTATTGATGTATCTTTATTTTCAGCATTAAACCAGTGTACTTGGCATTTAAACACGCCAGTTTAAAGAACATGCACATTAAGGCCCCATTAACAACACTGTGGTGTGCTAGGGCATTATGCCGCATGTTAACGTGTTGTTGTGGTCAGACAGCCAATTCATTGTCCTTAAGGCCTCATTCACACGAGAAAAGGCTGGCACGTACAGCTCCGTGCTGCACGCACGGCCGTGTCGGGCAGCTCCCTGGAAGGACAGGTGCTGCGTGTGATTAGTACGCAGCCCCTGTCCTCCACGGGAGTAAGCGGCCGTACACCACCCTACGCTCACCCCAAGTGCAGGTCCGTGCGGGTGTCCCGGCTCGGACGCAGACAGGATCCATCCTGTTAGCGTACAAGTACGGACACCTGCACCCGCACGGACGTGCAAGGCGGGTGAGCGTGGGGTAGCATATGGCCGCGTACTCCCATACAGAAGGACAGGGGCTGCGCACGCAGCGTGGATCTGTACGTGCTGGCCTTTTCACGTGTGAATGAGACCTTAGTAAGATGTATTGGGGTGCCATTCAGAATAATTTGCAACAACATACGTAATGTGCCTGCAGTGCAATAATGTGAATGGGCCCTAACACAAGCCATCATTCATCCCTGCGTCTATAAGCATTGTGAAGAAATTAATTTTCAAAGTTCCCAACACAGGCATTGTGTTTTTCTATGAGAACAAAATTTTGGCAGCCTGCCAGCCCTCTAATATAAACAACCAGTAGGTGTTTCTAAGCTGTTAGAAAGCAACTGAAACCTGACTTTAGAGTCATGTTTCTTATGAAAAAGGTAATTTGGGCAGTGATGTAATATGGCTGTCCTGCAACTTAAATCATTTTGAAACAATTTTATTTTTATAACAGATAGGCCCTTTACCAAACTTCTAGCTAACATTAAGTTAGACTTATGAAATGTTCACTTAAAGCTTTTGTAACCACTTTGCTGAAAATGATACGTAAATCCTTTACTGGAGAAAATGCTGCTTCAGACTCCTTTTGGTGGGTTACATGCCTGAGCCCAGGAACTTGATCACTAGATCATGTGATCTTCGCTATCATCAAATCAAAATTCGGATTGACTGATTGAGATTGTGAGACCTGGACATTCGGTCATGTAAGGACTGGAATGGCATTTTTTCTTGGAAAGGTAAACATTACAGCCCTAAGCCCTTTTACGAATCTCTATTCACCTATCCCAACAGGTTAATTTATCATCTCCCTTTATGCTCCTTTTTTCTTTATACTACTCTTTAAAAAAAGATTACTCTTCATTTGGAATGTAAAGATTGTGTACTTTAGAAAATATTCCTACAAGTGATAGCATATGGCAGGTACTGCATAAGTCCGGGGCACTGCCACCCATTCGTAAAGCTAATCATGCTTCCTATAGGTGGAGCTCAATAAAATAATACATCAATGATGTAACTGAATCTATCCAGAAATCTAAACACATTTAAAATGTATAAATCATACAACAAAAAGCAAATTACCAGGCAGATTTGACTAATATTTTCAAAGAGCAATATTCCATCATAATTGCTTGCTGGAAGCAATGCATGATGGGCTATGTAGCCTTGAAGAGTCAAGATTGAATCACATTAAGCAGCACAGAAAGAGATGCAAAGCAGACTGGGAATCCAGGAAGGTGCTGAAAGTGATGGGCAGGCAGAAGGCAGAACTCAGAACATAAAAGGGATTTTTGCAAGTAAGCTTTGATTGCATTATCAAAAACAACTCTAGAATGTATTCCTATTACACTGCTAATGTTATAACAGGAGAGTGCATGCTGGGACTTTAAGGGACACCTTTTACAAGTTTGCTTTTTTCTGTTCCTGTGAAATAATACTAAGAGTAACAGGTCCTGTTTCTGTCCCATTCTACCATCTGCTCACGCACAGTAGTTGTCTATAAAGCCTGCCAATACATCAGTGGTGGAGAACCTCCAATGTAATGCAATAATAATGCAATGCAATGTATATGCATATTAGTCATCCATTAAAAGTCTACACACCTTAAAGAATACAGGGTCCACTTTGTGTTTCATAGCATGGCTTTTGCCCACAATTCCCACGACAGTTGCCACCTTTTCAAGGTCCCCAAGGTTTTCCACCACACTGTTGATAGCCCCCATGACCCTTCGGGCATGCTTGCGCAACTGAACACTTTGTTCCATCTCCAGGGGGTCCTCCATTTCCTTAAACTGGCTGAAGTAGTTCTTGGCGGTTGGAAAATTGACAAAGAACCTTGAAGAGAAGAAGGTGAAGAGGGAGAATACTTTAGCGACATATGTAGATGCATAATGGTACGCAGTGTAGCAAATCGCTATAGACATTCAGGTTTAATAAGACAACAAAGTACACATTTGGAAAGTTTAGAGTGGTCAAGACATTTAAAGATGTCTGATGATTGATAGAAATGGGTTACTGAATTGGTAGCCTACTTTCTGACTTATGAATGGCCCAATCTTGGACAGCGGTTTAACCAAAGAAGACATTGATTAAGCTGATTTGGGTAGGTTTGTGCTGTGGGTGACAACAATCATTTTTTACACCTTAACAATTTAAATTGATACAACCTGGAAATACAAGTACAAAATAATCACACAGTCAAGCATGTTAACCAATGTCTATAAATACTGCACATGTTAAAATTAAGCCAGCAGATGTGAAGTAGAATGCATTTGTCCTTCCGCCAACACGTGAAATCTGGTATTGCTATGTGACCATATTGTACAGTGGTTGATTATTACAATCACTGTGACTCACTGGTTGGACTCCAGTACAGGATCTAAAGCTGTGATAGCAAGGGATCGCTCAATACTACTGCACTAAGTGGCTCTAATTAAAAAGGGAATTAAAGGCTTTTAGGGTTCAAATATAGGTAGTTGCCAGTGGGTTGAATCACTTTAGTAGTTAGGGATTCCATGGGGAGATCTTTGAAACGTAAGTCATTTTAGATCCATGGGGCCTCTAACACATTCAAACAGGAGATGTCAATGTTTGTGTTATGTACACTGTTGACTCGGACAAAATTTGACCAGGGTATGGCCCCATTGGCACCCTTAGAGTCGACAAAAAATTTTCAGTCAACTTTTGTCGATGGAGCTGGTCCCAAAATTCTCAGCCGAACAGGGACTGAAGGCAATTTGGGTATTCTGACAGTGGCACACCCACAGATATCAACATTATCTCCTTCACTGAATTAAACAACTATAACTAGGAACATTGCCTTTTTGCACTACTTTAAATAACCTTTTAAGAATGTCAACTATATTTTATATTGCCAAAGCTGCTATATATTTTACACTGTGATTTTAAAATGTACTTGTTCTGGAAAATTGCCGCAAAGCATTATATTTCACTTCTTGTTACATTATAACGTAATTAAATTCACATCCTGACTTTAGGTCCGATACTTTATCGGCCTTAACTACAAAATTATTAGTTCCACTGCTGAAGTAGTACTAATCAGCTCCATCTGGGTTCTACCTGTCTTTGCCTCTGTCCACTTCTGTCTGTTCCTTGAATTGAGGCAGAGGCACTGATCGGCTACTTAGGCATAGGAAACCAACCAGTGCCTCTGTCACACATAGGGATATATTTACAAACAATTTGCAGGACCATTTGACCTGTGAATATCTGTGAACGTTCGTTTTGTGCAAATGATGACAAACATGAATGTTCTGAATATATTTTATTTAGTGGTTGAATGTATTGCGATGTAATACTGCATTATGGCCAGGGAGCATAGGAAACAAATACTTATTCTTAAATTTTTTTTGAAAAGAGTGCAGAATGGTTAAAACTAGGGATGCACCAATACCAGTGCCGATACTTGGCATTTTCATGAGAACTACCAGTGTTGCAGCGGTTGAAGCTGGGATCTGGCGCTCCCCCACTGTCCTGAAATAATTAGTTGATATTGCTTTAGAAAAACTGTCACATGACAATAAACAAAAATGTATCAGTACTTGTACTTGTAAGTACATGGGCAAGTATCAGTGCTTGTACTTGCAAAAATGGTATTGGCGCATCCCTTTATTTATATTCATAAAAAGAAAATCATACATTAAAACAGAGATGTACAAATCCCTGGAGCTCTGTGCGCTCCTTACAAATGACAGCTGCCTCCTAACTTTTGAATTTTTCTCGAGTCTAGTCTTGGAGCTGGAAAAGTATCTGTACTTGTACTTGTACCGAGTACGGTACTTGGTATCGGTGCATCCCCAGTTAAAACAACTTTTTTTTTCAGTTTCTGTCTAAGTGGGGAGATTTCCATTGAAATCCAGTCCTGGAAATTTCTACAAAGTGAGAGGAATTCCCTCTTTGACAGCTGTTACTGGTACAAGTGTCCCCATTGGAAGATTTCCCCTGTATGGACAGAGGCTGTATGGATGGAGCCACTCACAGCTGCGCCAGATTAAAAAATGTCAGGACCATGTTTCATGTTGCTTCCTGAAGAGGGGTGTAACAAGAAACATGGTTTGAAAGGTAAACTTAGCCTTTACAGTTACTTTACTGCCTGTTAAGAATATATAAATAGTGTAATGTCCATATTCTGGGCACAGCTGCCATTTTAACAGACGGGGGAATTTTTCAACAAAACTTGGACCTTCTCAGTGCCCCACAGCAGCGAAATGAGAACTGGTTGAGCCTTATCAGTATGCACGTTTATACACAAACGAGTATGCACGCCTTTACACCCATGAGCATGCATGTTCATATACATATTTTTCACAAAAAATCTTTTGAAGGGGTAGGTCCAGACATATACAACCCACCATCTAATTTCTTTGGTGCATTTTCCTTAGTAGTTCATGACTGATCTCACGCAAGTTCATGAATAATTTTCTTAGATTACCAAGTGTGTCTAGTGACCTTTTACAATTTTCCCCGCACATTTATAATAATAATAATCACAGCAGTTACCTAACCAACTTACATGTTTACCTACATGATAACTATGTGAGACTAGGACAACGAAGACAAACACATCTTATAAACTTTGTTCAGTTAACCAGAAAATTGAACAGCTAAATGCTTAAAAGTGGACCTTTTAGAAACTTTACACGTTTGCATGAATACATTCCTGACGTGACGCAACAGCATCATTTGCCATGCTGTATCTTTTATAATTAAAAAAACAGTCCTTGAGTTCCAGGCAAGTTTTTGATGTCATTAGTCTGCTGCAGTCTCCTCTAACCCAGGGGTCACCCAGACTGCAACATTGTAATGCTGTAGTAAGTCACAAAAGAAAAGGGTAGGGGGTGACCTGTGCTAAAGAGAATATTGGGCCTATTTTCAGTATATACTAGCGATGCACTGAAATTTCGGCCACCGAAACATAACGGCCAGAAATGGCACTTTGGGCTTAATGCCATAAGTGCCATCTTTCGGCCGAAATTGTGGTGTATTCCTAGTTTCACTCCTCCCCACTGTGTGCTGCCCTGTGTTCCCTCTGACAAACCACAGCATCCAGCAGGGAGGAGAGAAACTGTCAGAGGAGACCAAGCGGGGCAGGGAGACCGATGTAAGCCGCAATGTCAAAGGAGGTTGAGCTCCCCTCCCACACTGCCCCGCTCAGCCTCCTGTGACAAATAAGGATGGACAGCTGTCACAGAACTCCAAGCAAGCAGTAAGGGGTGGAGAGTCAGCTGTCAAAGTAGACTGAGCTCTCCTCCCCGCTCTGCCAGCTCAGTCTCCTGTGAGAGCTGATCCAGAATGGAGAGCGGGTACAAACATTCAGCGATCAGTGATCACTGAATGTTTGTAAATAACTGGACATAGTATGAGTTACTATGTACTAGTTATGAATGAATACGAAGTCAACTACATCACTTCCTATTCATTCATGATTGTGTACATAACGTAGTACAAGCCCTCATACTTTCAGATATGGTGGAGTATTTGACTCATTTCTCTTTCTCCCATGTGATTGCATTGGTGCTTGGCGATTTGCAACTCAGACACCCAGTGCTGTCACATGAGGTAAGTCATGACTTGGACCATTGAGCTTACACAGGGCTAAACTTGGAGCTTACGCAGGGCACCTCCTGTTTCCTGCAAGCGAACGGATATGGAAGAGCAAAGTATAGGTGAATATGTGCAGCTTCAGGGACCTACGTGGGCAAAGCACAGGTTAACATTAATGTAAAAAAAATTGTAATGCTGTAGTAAGTCACAACAGAAAAGGGTAGGGGGTGACCTGTGTTAAAGGCAAACCACACTAGCAATAGCTCTAATTGCACATTATGATAACATTTTAAGATTATATATAAGGCTTTTATTTGGTATTTTGTTTTATTTGGAAAAAACAGCTTTGTAGACTAACAAATGCTTTCTTATCTTGTCCTTCTATTTTTATATTAGCTCCAGTGATAGTATTAATGAGATGCCACCACAGATGAATAGTGCAGCAGTGTTCATCTGTAGACTGAAGGCTTCTATTTTTATCATTGACACTTCAAGCCTGCATGTGATTATTGTTAGAGCTGACATAGCAATCACATAATCTGTAAGTACTCTGATTGGTTCCCAATCATCGGTGAGGACACAGGCTGTCAGTGACCACTGGGATAGAAAGCCAGCATCCGTGCAAAGTGGCAAGGCAAGACCACAGTGAGGACACATATTTCAACCTATAACAGAAAGTGCTGGAAGAAGACTCTTAATTATAAGACCACAAAAGTTGCAGATTTAATTAAAAAATAAAATATTAAAAAGAAAATTTGAAATTGCATTAACATGTTACAACTTATATGAGATTTTGGTAAGTAGGTTTAGATCTACTTTAAGCCTTGCTTCTGCATAGGCTCCTTGCCTGATATAGAATTTTCTATCATATCTGTTGATGCATTGTTGTTACATCTGAGCTGAAGGCTAGCAATACACATGTAGGTTTCTCTCAGTCAGCCCTTTGATTTTGAAGTCAACATTTGGCTAGCCAGCTGGTTCGGATAGGACCACCCACTGCTCAAAATTTGCCTGATTGAACAGGAATTCAAGTCGTGTATGACTAGAATAAATGCTAACATAGTGTACTACAAATAGCCCGACTTTAGTTAACCCCTAACTCTGACTACTGTCTCTTGATTTGTTTCTGATGCCCAGAATGACTGACTACCTGGATTTAAACTGAAGCTTGCATAGTGACCCCCAACTCATCTGGCCCATTGGTATTGGATCTGCCTATTTGGCCTTTGTTTACTAGTTCTAATACCACCCTTTCACCTGATGGGAAACGT